GTGGTGGAGGGGCAGGACGGGCACGGTACACAAAGGTAGAAGGGGCACGTTGTACCAAGGGAGGAAGGACATATTGTGGCAGGGGAGACAATGCAGCACCTGCATAATTTTGAGGACTATAAAGAACAGAGGGAACATATCCAATTTGTGGTTGGGCAGGAGACAAAGGTTGTCCAGGGAAAGGTTCTGGGGGAACTAAATTAGGGTAGCTATTCATGACAGGATTAGATGGATCCCAATAGTTAGATTGTTGCTGCAGAACAAAAGAACATGGAACAGAAACCCAAGATATAGTCACCGATGTCCTTTTTTCCCTATAATCCTCATTAAAACTGATTAGACACTTGTGTATCTAAGTACACTTAGCCAAATAAAATATTTTAATCTATTCTAAAAGAAACCCACCAACCATATTGAAGCCTGTGGATATATCTCCTGTCCAACAAAGACATGTTACATGAATTTTCCCCTATCCCAGGACATCTCTCTTTCTGCCCTGCTACAGTGGTGGATTACAGTTCCCACCAGTATTATTTCCTGGAGCTGCTGGAACTTGCATTCCAAACATTTGACTAGTACAAGTGACTTCCACAGCATATTCTAAGAGTCGGGACTATCACCAGACGATTCCATCTCGGCTCCTGTAAACAATGAATCACTAAATGTAACCTTAAAGAGGGACACGCTTGTCACAACACTAACCCTGAAAGAGTTAAAATCCATTTAATTGCAAGGAGCTAAATGCAGAGAAAACATTGGGAAATTTAGTCCTGTGAAAGAGTTTGGATTTTGGGGCTGTCAAGGGAGACAGATCTGCATCTCCAGCCTTCCCCAACTTCCTTCCAGCCAACAGATTCTTCCAACCTCCCTCCTCTGGCAAGAAAAGCTCTTATGAATTATTAACTGTGTTTGGATAACAAGATTCAGAATCAAGTATGACTGTGGTTCTAGATCCTATGGAGCTGTGGTCCAATGAAGAGGTCAAAAAATGGTTGTAATTACTAGATACGAGAAGAGGGGAGCTGGGTAACCCAAATCACTGTAACATTTATATCTAGGATCTTTCCAGAGCAATGTTTCTCACCTTGGCAACTGTTAAGATATGTGGATCTCTACTCCCAGAATTCCCCAGCTGTCTTTGTAGCCGGGGAATTCTGGGGGTTGAAGTCCATACATCTTAAAATTGCCAAGGCTGAGAATTGCTCTTCTAGAGCAGCAAAATTTCTTTTAGTTATACCACTCATATCTGCTTGTGCAAAATTCAAAATAGGATCGGTTGGAGAGTTATATCCATAAAACAGGAACCCTTTAAAACTTAAGCAAGATGCAGGGCAACGAAGACAGCTTACTTCACTTTCCCGGTCGTTATAGCCAGGATACAATTAATAACAATTTAGAAAAACAACAACAATTCACATTTTGCCATATTTGGCCTCTGTGAGTGCAGGGAAAGGATAACTTATCCCACCTTCAAACAAATAAGCCTTCAAGAGGACTTGTCACACTTTCACACTGTGACAAGTCCGTGACAACAACGTAGTCAGGTGAAGCTATTCCAGGATAAATAGAAGGGGTTGCGGTGGATAGTAATGAGGGCCAACAGACCCAAATGGTTGTGTGGCAACAGGTAAAGATTGCTACCTACTTCAGAATAGCCTTGAGAGTAAAATGGGAAGCCTTGGGGATAAAAAGGGTAACCTTGTGGAAAACCAAGATAGCCATAGATGGGTAGGAAAGGTTGACGATCCTGCAGAGCAAAACAATCAGAACAGAAAAAATCAAAATAGAGGAAGTTTCCAACAATCGTCATAAAAAAAAAATCCCATCAACCATAATGAAGCCATGGATGTATATCCTCCCAGAAGCTGTCCTGCAGAGATGGGTGACAGGAGTTTTCACTCTGTCCCGGGACGTGACTTTTTCTGCCCTGCTGCTGTGGTGGATTACAGTTCCCAGCAGCATTACATCCTGGAGCTGCCTGAAACTTGCACCCGAGATATTTACCAGGTTCATAGGATTTCTGCAGCATGTTTTAAAAGTTGGGATCATTTTCCAAGGATTCCTTCTGGGCTCCTGTAAACAATAAACAGCTCAGTGTAATTTTAAAAGGTGGCAAACTTATCACAGGGCTGACTTGGATGGACTTGTGCACAGAGCAGAAAGCTGGCTGCATAGAAGGAGTTGAGAAATTAAATTCTCTGCAAGAGTTTGGATTTGGGGGCTGTTGAGAGAAACAGATATGGACCTCCAGCTTTCCCCAGCAAATCTGTTTCCCTCCAGCAAATAGGCACTTCCAACCGCCCTGCACAGAAAGGAAATTCCAATGCAGTGTTATGAGTGATTAGCTGTGTTTGGTTAAACAAGGTTCAAGATCCAGAATGCCTGTGGTTCTAGAACCTACGGAGAACTGTAGCTAGGGTCTGATGAAGAAGTCAAACAAAACAGTTAAGGGAAGAGTGGAAATATACCACTCTGGTATATCTGAGGGCTTCCTATGGCAATAAAAACTGCATTTAACTATTCTGTTTGGCTTAGAGAGCTTCTCATTTTTGACAAAGTGAAGCAGCTATTCCAGGGGGCAGAAGGGTGAGGGCTTGCTGTCCATTCTTGCTTTTCCTGGTTCACCACCTTAGTGAGGCTTCTTTATCTTAACAGTGGCAGTGCCAACTTCTTTCCTGTCAGTAGGTGGCAGCAGTGGTGGGATTCAACCAGGGTAACAACCGGTTTGGTGAGCGCTTCACACGTGGTGCATTTGAAAACAGCTCTAAAGCTTAACTTCTACTGCAGCCCCCGCTGAAAACAGCTGAGGCGTGGCAATCCGCTCTGCTGCGCCTATCAGCTGGGCTTCAAACAAAGGAAATATAGGACAGACTAGTGTAGGAGTGAGTGGGTGGGGCCAACTGATCGCCGAAACTACTGGTTCACCCAAACCAGTCTGTACCGGCTAAATCCCATCCCTGGGTGGCAGATACAAATGTGTTGTGAGGACAGGAAGAACTAGGGATCTGTGGTGTCATGTCTATCATCTTGCCTCTGGACCAGAGGTGGTTATTCAGCAGGTTCTGGCCAGTTCTGGAGAACCGGTAGCAGAAATTTTGAGGAGTTCGGAGAACCAGCAAATACCACCTCTGAATGGCCCTGCCCCTGTCTATTCTCTGCCTCCCAAGTCCCAGCTGATCGGCTGGCTCTCCTTTGGTTGCCCTGCCCAGAAGAACAGAGCTAGAAAGCAGGTTATTGGGGTGGGGAAGGAATGGGGATTTTTACAGTATCCTTCCCCTGCCACACCCAAACAAACCATGACACACCCAACAAGCCATGCCCACAGAACTGGTAGTAAAAATATTTGAATCCCACCACTGCCCTGGATGTTGCTGAATGAGTATTCTAAAGTTTCTCTTAAGAGCCTAGCCATGTTGGCTGTTCCTAGAACCGTGTGCCTTTTTCTTTTCTTCCTGAATTAAAAAAACTACCACAAGGCTTCCAAGTTTATTAATATAGCTGTTAATTGTTCTTCACTGAAAAGCTCTTCAATGTTCCTCTAGCCAAACCAACCCTCAGAATGAATATATTCATATTTTTTCCCCCATGAAGCTTACCCATTGCCTTGTCTGATCAAAGATTTTTCTGCAGATTGTAATTAATTTCTAATAGAAAGAAGGAAAAACATCAAGAGTTACTTTGCGTTGCATTCTCCTTCTCCTGTCCTACAAATTGGAGAAATGAATCCATTATTTCTATTACTAAGACTCCCTTTTTGCCTCCAGGAATTAATAAAAAAGTTGTTCTTGGGTCAAATGACACTTCCATTGAAGAATTACAGAGTTTGTTTGGCCGTGTTGAGTGAGTGGCTTTCCAGTCTAAAACACATCTTGGATATTCCCCGATCTTCACCCATCCAAATTCGAAGCAGGTCCAACACTGTTAAGCTTAATATTGGGCCATTGTTATTTTAAATCATGGTGGGTTTTATATGACTATAATACAATGCCAAAAATGTGGCTATCATATTTCACACCAGCTGCTTTAACACTTAATACTATCCATGAATTTGGCCAATGTTTCTTCAACTTGGGGTGGGGATGGAAATTAAACCTCAGGAATACATCATTATAAATGTTCCACCTGCATTTGTTTTTGGTAAGCTAGGGTAACAGAGAAGAGAAAAAAAATATTCAGATCTGAGCATGAATCTCTCTGTTCTATCTCATCTGCTCAACTATCCACTCTGCTGGAATGAATGAAAAAGATGAATAAATGTTAATAAATGAAAATATTATAGAACAAAGACAGTGGCATTAAAACTGCTGCAAAGTCTTAATTTAGTTTTAAGACTAACTCAACATGCTTAAAGTCATTCACTGGACGTCATATGTTATAATACAGAATTTAGTTTCTATATGATAGCAATAGCACTTAGACTTATATACCGCTTCACAGTGCTTTACAACCCTCTCTAAGCGGTTTACAGAGTCAGACTCTTGCCCCCAACAATCTGGGTCCTCATTTTACCCACCTCGGAAGAATGGAAGGCTGAGTCAACCTTGAGCCTGGTGGGATTTGACCTGCCAAACTGCAGGCAGCCAATAGTCAGCAGAAGTGACCTGTAGTACAGCACTCTAACCACTGCACCACCAAGGCGCAGTGAAAGATGATGAACCCTAATCATATAGAAGACTACCAATTACTTTAACTAATTACTTTAACTAATTTGAATAGCAAACCTGTTTAATGTGCAAATGAATGTTATTTTCTCAGGCAGACTTGGCTGCCAGAGGAAAGAGGATGTTTGATACGAACTGGAGATCTGAACCAAGTTCTTTTTGTCAAGTATTGAAATGATAATAAATATTTCCAGATACTTACACCCAACATATGGATCTAGCAAAATAAAAATAAAAAGACACAATATTTAGAAAGGATCTTTATTCTTAGATCCTCTTAATAGGTTATTTGTTTCATCTCTGATTTAATTTTTTTAAAAAAATATTCTTACTGCATATTTGGTGGTCTTTTTTCTTACACTTTTTAAAACAATGTAGTATTGTATGCTTATAATAACACTTTTAATTTTCCATTTGAATTGATTGAATTTGGTTGTTTATACAACACTATTCAACACTTATCTTCTCCTTCTGCTTTGAAACTGATCCTTAAATGTTCTAGCAGAACCCTAAATCATCATCTGTCTTGCAAGGAAGTCCTGCATATAATTGAAAAACAGATAAAATCTGGACTCTGCGCTAATTTTGCACCAGTTTTTTTAAATTTATCCCTTTGCCGGCTGCAGGACATGGGTAGAGGGTATGTCTAGTAACACACACAATAATGTTTTGTGTCTGTGAACATTTTCATCTTTTCCTTTGAATGAAAATCTTGACAGTTCCTAGAGTACACTGTCATATAATGATCATTATTTTAAATGGGAAGCCCATCCACTCCTTCCCCCCCCCTCTTTTTTTGACATCCAACATTCATGTTGTTTCTTATTCAAGGTGCTGATACATGAACATGCCACCTGGGTGCACAACATTGAAATAACATGGGATATATATTGATTGGTCTGGAGAAGCCAACTCGGGTCTTTTTTATGTTCTACTGTTTGACACGTTCGAATGTGCTCTACATCTTTGGGAACAGGGCCAGGCAATAAAGGAAGAAGCAAAGAGGCACATTATAACCTCATATGTCGATATGAGAATGGTCCAGGAAAGATTGCAACCTGGGTTTGGGTGGGTTTAGCTTTTTCTACTCCAAAAGAAAGCTTGATAAATGTTTGCAACGGGACACATCTGAGATGCCAGAGCAATCAGATTCCAAAGGGAACAATCATCTTAAAAGGGTAGAAACAAAATAAGATACTCACCAGCTTTTCAGATCTAAAGTGATCCTATGGGCAAACACCACACACACACACACAAAAGACATAGAGTGAGAGGACAAATACTTTTTTTCCTATCAATTTTGCAAACAAAAAAAGTGAAAAAGCCTGCAAAGAGCATCTTATAACCAGGGGGTGGGATTCTACCGGTTTGGACTGGTTTGGGCGAACTGGTAGTTCTGGTGATCATTTGGCCCCGCCCACTCGCCTCTGCTCTTTCCTGTGCTTTATTTCCTTGTTTTGGAGCACAGCTGTTTTACTCATGGGGCTCCAGTAGAAGGTAACTATAAAAGTTGAAAAAGGGCTTTTTTAAATGGTGCACACGGGCGCACAAAATGCATGATCACTTGTTGTTACACTGGTTGAATCGCACCACTGCTTATAACCTCTAATTGGGGAATGGGCAGCTAAAGGTGAGTGGTCAGTTGTGGCCTAGCACAACATCAGGACCACAAGAGTAAGAACAGATGAAGGATAACATGCTTCCCCTCTTAAATAGATGCTGCAGAAAACAATGTTGCTATTGAACTGGAAGGAACTCTTCCATCTTCTGCAATGCAGAATTGTTATATCTCTCTGCTTTCCTTCCCTGTCTTGCAATAGTCTCTTTCTACTCCCTCGGCCCCCCACTCCAATCTACAAGGCTATGCTTCACAAGGCACCTACCCAAGATTTGGGAGCACCTAACCCTGTATAGGAACCTATGATTTTCAGGGCCAGGCACTTTTGGGCGGAGTTCTCTTTAATTGGGTATAATAGGAATATATATATATATATATATATATATATTTATATATTGATTGATTGATTAGCCCAGGGGGGCGATTCAACTGGTGTAACAACCGGTTTGGTGAGTACATGCTTCTGATCTTCTGACCTCCAGCAATCTCTCTGTGTTAAACAGCTGACGCGTGGCACAGTGTGAATCAGGTTCACTCACAACTGATCCTCAGAGCTACCGGTTTGCCCGAACTAGGCCAAACCGGTAGAATCCCAACCCTGGATTAGCCTATAGGCCATATCAAGGTACAGGATCAAAAACATATTACCAATAAAATTTGAAACAGACAATTTAAAATGAGAGTAGGGTAAAGTACAATAGTTATAGGATAAAATGCAATAATTGAATACATAAATAAAGAATAAAATGACATAAAGTTATATTTCTTTATCACCCCTGCAATCTACCCCAATCAGGCCCACCTATGCCGATCTCAGTTGGGCCATTTTAGTCAGAAACTCTGCTGTATTAAATGTCATTTTCAGATTCTGGCCACACATGAGGTAAGTTGTTTTAAATGGGCCTCCCACTGGGTCGTATGTTTAATATGTGGATTAAGGTACTTATCTCTCAGCCCCTTATACAAACAGCAATCGAATAATATATGAGTCAGATCTTCTACCTCTTCAGCTCCAGTTCATTGTATGGGATAGACAGGAAACTCTCAAATCAAACCATTGTATCCAGCTGTTTCAATCTTGCTTGGGAAAAGGTCTCCCTGAGATGTTTTGGCAATTGTGATTTTAAATAGTTGTCCATTTGGAAGGTGCATTTATATAGAGGCAAAGGTAATACTCACTCTTGAGCCAAAGTGTCTAAAAGGCCACTGCAAAAAGAACAAAATGGCTTTCTTGGTGAAATAGTTTTAATAGACCCTTAAATGTATAAAATGCAAACTTTCATTCTCTTTCCCATATAAGCTTATACATTCACGGGTGTATCTGTGCATAATATTTAGACCCTCAGATCTTTTTTTTATAATTCAGCTATATAATAAACTATATAAGCCAAGTTGCTTTTAAGTGTGAGATGGGTAGCATATACATTAAATAAATAAAATAGCCATATATAGACCTGAATGGAAAAAGATAAAGACCCCCCAAGGCTATTCTTCTACCCCAGATTTGGGAGTAAATGGCACCCTAAAATCTTCAGGACCAGCTTTTTGGGTGGGGGGGGGGGTTCTCAAATGGGTATAGTATAAGCAGGCAAAGGTTATACTCACTGATGAGCCAAAGGATCTAGGAAACCACTGCAGAATGAAGAAAAACATGGATTTATTTCTTGATAGTAGCATTAATAAATATCTAAATGGTATAAGTGCAAACTTGCATTCTCACTCATATAAGCATACACCTGGGTGTATGTGTATGTGCGTATTTATGTCTGTGTGCATTATATTCATGCCTGAAAATCTTCTGATATTTAAGTTATGTTAGATGTAATAATTCTACAGTAGAAAGATGGAGAGTAGAAACAGGAATTTTTGAATACTAAACAAGGCTGCTTTAAAAGAACAAAATGTTCTCAAAGGAAGGTTGCTTTGTATCAAGAGATACAGTATATAGTACAGTTCAGTTCAGTACAGTACAGTATATTTTCTTAATCAATGAGTAAGTAAATAAATGCACCAAATAACTACAGTAAATATAATTTCAAAGTAAATAAGCATGGAGAAGTGACTTCAAAATGGATAAAAAACAGTATTTTGTCAATTTAAACCCCAACTGTTTTGGATCCAGTGGACGGAATTGTGAGCAAAGGTATCCTCGGAGTATGGTCAAAAAACCCAATTGTCAATTCTGAAGCAAACCTGGCTAAAGTCATCTTGTGCTGCCTCATAGTTGCCATGAAGTCAGAGAGAGGGAAGGGAAGGGGGGAGTAGATAGCCAGGTTCCAGTCAAAACAAAATGCTTTCGTGTGGAAACCAAGGTCATTGAAACAGGTGGCCATTGAAGGAAGTGAAGAGCCTGCCTTCCATCTTCAATGGGCAATGTGACCGGTGACACCCGGGAGGGGGGAATTTGATTCTTTTAATTAGGTGAAAACCGTGGGAACTGTCAGAGTTGGTTTTCACTGGCTGTGCTGATATGATGTATCCAATAAACCTATCATTTGAGGGATCCACTTGCCTTGCAGTTATGCTTTCAATGGGTGCATTACTCGGAATGCTGACACCAAGATTGTAGCAATGGTGATCAAAGCTCTATCCATTCTATATGAGTGTTGCACAAAAAATTTATGACCTCAATTTGGAGCTTTTGATTATGCATACTGCATACTCTTGATAGTGACCAATCTCTTAACTGTTTTTTCTAGCAGCTGTCTTAACCCACAGTCCTCCCTGGGTGGGAAGTAATTGAAACAGAATTTGGGAACTTCAGACTGTAAGCAGGGAGTCTGTTCCTCAACCAAGAAAATGAGAAGGTGATGGATATGTTCATACTTACAAATGGACGGCGCTGTGGAATAGAATTTCTAAAAGAAACATCACCCCAATAGCCAGGATACCCCTACAGAAATGGAAACATCTATTAGAAACCAGGCCTTTTGCAACAAAGTCTGGGAGGAAGAGTCTGGGAGGGGCTCTAAGGAGACCCACAACTAAATCCATGCATATGGAGGACCTTCATACCCTTTGTAGGGAAGGCCTGCAGACATCTAGGACATACTTAATAAATAATGTTTATATTCAACATTGCCTCTGAAAGATGTAAATGGCATATACTAGAGCAGTGGTGGCTAACCTCTTTGGGCTCCTGTGCCAAAAATTGTGCGTGCGCTTGCATGCTCACGCTCGCGTGCCAGCACCCAGAAGGTAATATGCTCCCCTCCCACCCCCCTATGCATGTGCGTGCAATCCTCCCACCCCCCACATACCCCCACGCTGCCCCCTTACCTGCACTGCACCTCACAGCTGATTTTTGGCCCATTTGAAGCCTTTTTCGACCTCCCAAAGGCTTGAGGAAGGCTTCTGCAGGCTTCTGGAAGCTTTGCAGGCCAAAAACTAGCCCCATTATGTCACTTCCTGTATTTTTGGAAAATCAGAAAGTGATGAAACGGAGCTAGTTTTCGGTCTGCAAAGCCTTCAGAAGCCTGCAGAAGCCTTCCTCAAGCCTTTGGGAGGCCGAAAAAGGCCTCAAACCCGACAAAAATCAGCTGTGAGGCACGCACATGCGCAGTGAGTTAAGTTTGCCTTCAGCTCGCGTGCCGGCACAAATGGCTCTGCTGCCACCTGTGGCACGCGTGCCATAGTTTGCCATCACGGTACTAGAGTCTTGCTAATTTTATCCTTACAACATCTGTAAGGAAAGATACTACAGGTGGCCCTTGTTTATCAACTGCCATAGATGATGAGTTGCAATGGTAATAAAAAAATAGATTTTCAATCTTGACCCACATATTCCACTTTCACAACATCTTTGCCTCGGTCACATATTCAAAATTGCAGTCAGTTACTACGCATTCTCCTGTTTCAAATTATAAGCACAATCATTATAAATCATCCTCAGGCAATATTTTACTTAGCAATCACTTTGCTAGCTGGTCAGAATTGGGATAATTAAATGAGGACTACTCGTACAAATTTTCATATTATTATTTTTTTAAAAAAAGAGTCCCTTCAGAGGTGGGATTCAGCAGGTTCTGAGCAGTTCTGGAGAACCGGTAGCGGAAATTTTGAGTAGTTCGGAGAACCGGAAAATACCACCTCTGACTGGAGATTTTACGGTACCCTTCCCCTGCCACTCCCACCAAGCCACGCCCACAGAACTGGTAGTAAAAAAAAATTGAATCCCACCACTGAGTCCCTTGGTTATAAGATCCTGCACCATCAAGGAATGAAGAGGGGATATCCCAGATGTCTGCCTTCCTCCTCTGTCTTTGAGGACTCCCTGTCTTCCACTTCATGGCAATCTCCCAGGATTCTACTTCACAGTGCATCTATCCCAGATTTGCGAGCACCTATCCCTGAATGAGACTCTAAAATTTTCAGAGCCAGATAGTTTGGGGGGGGGGAGTTCTCTCAGATGGGTATAATATGAGCAGGCAAAGGTAATACCCACTTCTGAGCCAAAGCGACTGCAGAAAGAAGGAAAGTATAGATTTTTTTTCTTGGTGAAACAGTTTTAATAGTTTTAAAGGGTGCAAATGTTAGCTTATATCAGAGGTCTCCAAACTTGGCAACTCTAAGACTTGTGGACTTCAACTCCCAGAATTCTCCAGCCAAGTATTACCTTTGCAAATGTGGGCTGGAGTTATGCTGGCTGGAGAATTCTGGGAGTTGAAGTCCACAAGTCTTAAAGTTGCCAAGTTTGGAGACCTCTGGCTTACCTTCTCTATCATGGATGTGAGTGCGTGGTATCTATGTCCTCAAATCTTTCTGTTATTTCAGTTGTACAATAACTTACATAAGCTGAGATTCCTTTTAAATATGAGATGGGCAGCATTTAAATTGAATAAATAAATGTCCACATTTCGACCCAAATGTAAAAAGTTAAAGATCCCCAAAGGCTGCTCTTCACAGTACACCCACTCCATGTTTTGGAGCAGAACTAAATGGGACCTAACAATCTTCATGGCCAGATAGTTTTGGGGAGTTCTCTCAAATGAATATAGCACGAGCAGAGAAAGATTATACTCACATATGAGCCAAAGCGTTTAAAAGGCAACTGCAGGAAGAAGAAAAATAGGGTTTTGTTTCTTAATGAAACAGTTCTAATGTTTTAAATAGTCTTAATTGTTATAAGTGCAAGCTTGCATTCTCTTTCTTGTAAGCATATACATAAATGTGGATGTGTTTGTGTGCACGTGTGTGCATAATATGTATGCCTTTGATTTTTCTTCTTATATTTCAGTTATATAATTATATAAGCCAAGGGTTGCTTTTAAGCATGATATTTCAGGTACATAAATTAAATAAATAAACTAATAAATATCTGTATATAGACAAAGGCTACTCCTTACAGTACACCTATCCCTGATTTGGGAAGAAGATTAAATGGAAGCCTTAAGTTTTCAGGGTTAGATAGTTTGGGGATTCTCTCAAATGAGTATAATAGGAGTAGGCAAAAATTATACTGTTGAGCCAAAGTGTCTAAAAAGCCACTGCAGAAAGAAGAGAAACAAAGATTTCTTTCTTTATGAAATACCTTTAATAGATGTTTAAATGGTATATACACAAACTTACTTATTGAAATAGAACTTGGGAAGGTCAGCCTATAAGCAGGGGGCCTATTGCTCACCAAAAGCACAGAAAATAAGAAGGCCATGCAGAAGATCATACTCACAAATGAAGGATTTCGTGGAATGGAGTTTCCAAAAGGAACATTGTCCCTGAAGCCAGGGTACTCCTACAGAAATTCAGAGTTATATTACAAACCAGTCCTTTCTACAACAAAAAGAAGGAAGAGTCTGGAGGGGATTCTAAGGAGGCCCACAACTAAACACACTTGGTGTAATCAGATAATCAGAGTTGGAAGGGACCTTGTAGGTCATCTAGTCCAACCCCCTGCCCAGGCAGAATACCCTACACCATTTCTGACAAGTGGCAGTCCAATCTCTTCTTGGAAGTCTCAAGTGATGACGCTCCCACAACTTCCGAGGGCAAACTGTTCCATTGGTTGATTATTCTCACTATCAGAAAATTCTTCCTTATTTCCAGGTTGAATCTGTCCTTTTTTTTGGTTTCCATCCATTATTCCTTGTCTGGCCTTCAGGTGCTTTGGAAAATAGCTTGACCCCTTCCTCTCTGTGGCAGCCCCTCAAATATTGGAACACTGCTATCATGGTTATATTGGTTATTGGTTATAAGTTCCTTCAGGATTTCTCATATCCATCTTCTGCTTCACAGCAATCTCTCTCCCCCCCCCCCCCCCCCCCCCCCCCCCCCCCCCCCCGGTTTTCACACCATACTTTCCTCAGGTTTGGAATCACCTATCCATGAATGGAACCCCACAATTTTCAGGGCCATGTCATTTTTGGGAGTTCTCCAAAATGGGTATAATATGAGAAGGCAAAGGTTATACTCACGGCTGAGCCAAAAGCCCACTGCAGAAAGAAGAAAAACATGGCTATGATTCTCGGTGAACTAGTTTGAATAAACCTTGAAATCTAGAAACTCCAAGCTTGCATTACTCTTTCCTATATATAAGTCTAAACATAGGCATGGGTGAGTGTGCATACTATTTAGGATTTCAGATCTTTTTTATATTTCAATTATGTCATCAGCTGTAGAAGCCAAGAGTTGCTTTTAAGTGTGAGATGGGCAGTGGGCAGCTGATGCATTTAATCAATCAATAGAATAGAATAGAATAGAATAGAATAGAATAGAATAGAATAGAATAGAATAGAATAGAATAGAATA